GAACTCCCAAAATAGTATAGGTAAGTATTAAGGCCCCTATACTATCTTTAATCAATTCCGCGGTGGCCGTAATTGGAAGCTCTTTTGACTTAGCAAGCCTATGAGATTGCTCAGCCTACACTGAAAATCCCAAACCCTAGTTGCTAAGTCAAAGAGCGTCCAAGTCATAGAAGGGCCGACCCATTTCTGGAATGCCTGGTAGAAAGGCATTAAAGCGGCCGGAGATGCCCGGGTCAGCATCTCCATGACGACTGCATTCTCTATTTTGCGGTATGTTCAAGCGATCTAACAGAAACATATCGGAGGTCTGGCCTTCAAGAGCGCCCCAGCTTTCTCACAAAGGCGGTCTCAATTATCATAATGAGAACTTTGAAGCAGCTGGTACTGTAGAAAATGTTGACATCGGGACCACAATATCCATAATCTTGTATGAGGATCGGTCTCTTTCTTTCCAAGCCCTTGTCTGTAGCCTGGCCTCTCCTTAAGCAGCCAGGGGCGCACAATGTCAGGCGCAAGTGGCCCATATCATCTCAGCGAACTGGACGCTGGAGATCAGCGTGTCAACTTTCAGCATCCTCATCATGGCGCCGAGAGGTTCAGGGATTAGGGTGAAACATCTTCTCTGACATGTCTTACCTCCCTTGTGTTTCTGGGACGCCGAGTCCCTGCAGCAACATATGTCAAATCATACTGAACTACACAACCCTCATCAATTGGGTTAGGGCTCTTTTTGAAATCAGTTGGATAGGGCGGGTCATTATGTCAGTAATTTGCCTTCACCATAAAAAGATGCCCAGTATCCACGCAGGTATATTCCCAGAATTCCGGGAGGATCTAAGAAGTAGATCCCCTAATTTGGGGACCCTAACTACTAAAGGGTTCTCTATAGGAACCTACATAAGGGATCTACTTTTTGGATCCTCCCGGGGTCTGGGTTCCTAAATATGAGGGAACCTCCAAGCCTCTTAGAAGGACCTTACATACAACACCCCATGAAGCCCCAAACAAACCATACATAACCCTAGATGATGGTGTAACAACAACTTCTGAAGCACGAGCCCTTAAAGACCCCCTAAACCCTAAATCCAAAACCCTAAATTTAAGGAACCGTTTCACGAAATTGAACTTCGAGCTCGCTTAGATCCGAGGCACTCGATCTCGTGCCGCTGGACGTTCCCCGAGCGCTCGGTCTGCGTGATGCTTTGGATCATGGTGTTCCTGAAGAAGTGGGGAGGGCTCAGGGTTGAGGGTATAGGGAGAATGAGTAATGAGCCATAGTTGGAAATTAAGATGATTCCCTGGCATTTTTTGGATGATCTAACGTACCCCAAACCCGATTATGGTGGGTCGAGGACTCCTGAAGAAATGGAAGGGTTTAGGGTTTGGGCACAACAATGGTGTTACAGGGGCTTATGAAGGAGATTCGGGGTGTAAGGGCTAAGGCTACTAGAAGATCAATCCTCGTCACGTGCTCTCGAAGTACCTATAGTCTCCATTGTAGTTCCTTTTTGGGAATGCCTTATGAACTCCTTAATATACTTGGTTAAACCAAAACAAGGAACTACAATAGAGACTACAGGTAGGGCCCTTTCAAATTGCAAGGCTTCTCTTTGGGGATCCCCCTCAACTATTTTTCGGTTTCACAGCTTAGGGCCATATGGTTGATGCCATAAATCCTGCATCACCCAGTATAAGGTCTTATACCATAGTTCCCATAGCTCAGGGTCCTATCATCAACAGTATTGGCCCCGAACTAAAAAAAAACTGCAAAGAAGAACCCAATGCAGGGGCCTTAATAATTAGATTAGGGTTTTGGGGTCCCTTGCAGTCTAATTATAACAAGGAGCCCCCAGAAGAACATAGCTAACTGTTGAGGCCCCTATATCAGGCTGGTGTCTCAGGCTTGTGCTCCAGATAACAGACTCTAACAAATGAGTAGCATCTGGGCCTTTGGCCTTAATACTTACAGTTTAGGGTTTAGGGTTTTAGAGTCCAGTTAGTCTAACGGTTTAGGCGCGTTCATAAGGACCGTCTTGAAGCGACTTTAACCTTAACATCCTCTCTGCACTCCATCGTACATAAGCGGTGCTAGTAACACTACAGCTGCTACAATACATGAGTACTACTACTAGTACCACTGGTACCACTAGTACTACTAGTACTACTAGTACTACTAGTACCACTACTAGTAGTAGTAGTAGTAGTAGTAGTACTACTACTACTACTACTACTACTACTACTACTACTACGTCCCATTATGATGAGAAATATCATGAAGAAATCCTAAAAACATCTATACCTGTAGTCTCCATTGTAGTTCCTTTTTGGGGATATCTTATAAACTCCTCAGTATATAACTGGTTAAACCAAAAGAAGGAACTACAATGGAGACTACAGGTAAATATATCACATGGGCCCAGGGTCAGTTTCCGCAGCGGAAGGCCGCCGGAGGACGTGGCCCCAGAGGTAAACAGCAGCCACTCGAAGGCCTCCGCACCTAAGAGCCCGGGCGCAGGAAGGCGGCCGGATCTATAGGATTTAGGGTTTAGGGTTTAGGGTTTAAGGTTTAGGGGTTAGGGTTCAGGGTTTAGGGTTTAGGGTTTTAGGGGTTTAGGGGTTTAGGGCTTTGGGGGCTTTGGGCTTCTACGGTTTGGTTAGGGCTTCTGGGGCTTAGGGTTTACAGGGTTTAGTGCTTAGGAGGTTCAGGGTCCTCTGATCAGAGGGTTCATTACAACATTGGGGGTTGAAGGCTTAAGGTACGGCTTCTGGCGTTGAGGGGCGAAGGCTACCCCGGAGGAATTATTGTATAAGGGTCTTGGGGTTTACCTGTAGTCTCCATTGTAGTTCCTTTTTTTGGCTTAACAAATTATACATTAAGGAGTTCATAAGGCATCCCCAACAAGGAACTACAATGGAGACTCTAGGTAAACCCTAAACCCCTAAACCCGAAACCCTAAACCCTAAACCCCTAAACCCCTAAACCGTACAGGGGCTTAGGGTTTAGGGTAAGATCACCTTTAAGGTTCTGCGGCGATTTTTCTCCTTTCGCGGCCCTTCCGTCCGCTCCCAGAGTCAGTCGAGAACCCGGATTCCGGTGGGGACGAGACGTGCGGGTGGTTCTCCAAACTCGGGTCCCTTTTTGGGTCAGGGTTTAGGGTTTAGGGTTTAGGGTTTAGGGTTTAGGGTTTAGGGTTTAGGGTTTAGGGCCACATAGGACGCCTAAGAGGGACCCTAATTTAGAGAACTACCCATGTACCGTTTCGACAAGCTGACACATCCACACCGGCGCCACATGCACGGAGCATGGCTTTCGGGTATGGTATTTAAAATTCGGTTGGGCCCCCGAGCGGTCAGAGGTTCCTATTCTAGACCCCACCTCTAATTTGCTTTACAGTGACCCCCACTTCCATATCACCATCCTGGAAGGGGGGTTCCTTTGGGTGAACCCGAAAATGAGCCCCAGGGTCCTGCGGTGAAATCTCGCCTCCTCCAATGGATTTGGGCTCT